TGTGTGCATTTTACTGTGGACTGACTGTTTTGAAACTTATATGGTAGTTACCTAGAACCTAGACCTCAGTTATCATGAAAAAAGCCAGGAAATTTCAGTTTTGACAATATGGGACCTTTAATGTTTATTTTTTTCCTTTTCCCTGTCTTTCTCCTTCCTCTTGCTGAAAGTGATAGTAACCTACTAACCTAGATTTAGTGTCGATTAAAATATTTCTCTCAGTTCAGTGAATAGGAAGGGCATTCCCAAGTTTTCTTCCACTGGCTGCAAGACACAGGCACTTGTATTCATGGTGCTTTTATCTACATTCTCTACTCCAATTACATTTTTTGAAGGCCACTTTCCTGATGTGGAGGACCATTAGCCTTGAGATTTCTTTGAAAACATTTCTCTGTTTTAATGACACTCAACCCTCTTAGACACACAAGGCTGACCGCATTTTATTATGAAAGAGAAAAAAAGAATTGGAAAGTGGAAGAGAACATGACAGCTTTCTTGTGGTGTAAGAGCTGCTTTTGTTGGAACAAAATTTGTCAGTTGTTCGTGTAACAAGGTCTGGAGAAGTGGGTCAGTTCAGTTTTAGCTGTGGTCATCGGTGGATCTTTGTGCTTGTGATTCATGTTTTTAATCACTCAGTAATGAAGGCCTTCAGCTCTTTATAGTGCTCCAATTCAGACAGTGCACTGTGTCTGGGACACTCTGTAAGATTTAAATCAGAGGTGGAGACCTGAAACTGAAAAACCTTAAACTACAAATCAGTCATTTTAGTTTTAAATTCACTGTCATATCTAGTATCTCATGCTACTTATAAATAAATTGTAACAAATATCTATGATATTAGCCAGTAAGTATTTTGGTATTTATTATGTATATGTATGTTGTATGTTCATTTCTGGAACTGTTTAAAAATAATATTTTTTTTTTTCAACAATGATGCATTAAATTGTGAAAAATATGAAATTTCTATTCATCATAGAATTCTAAAACACTGTATCATGGTTCCACAAAAATATTTAGAAGCACAAATGTTATCAACTTCAATGAAGAAATGTTTCTTAAGCAGTAAATCAGCATGTTAGAATGATTTCTGAAGGATCATGTGACACTGAAGACTGGAGCATTTTCAGCATCATTTTTTTTTACATAATTTGCAAACCATTACCCTCAGTTGCCTCACCTCTGCTTTGAATAAGGATCAAGTGCATTCGATAAAACAAACGCGTACATGCTGGTCTCTTATAAAATAACTATTGCGTCAATGTTTTATCTACAGTCCTTGGGTCTGTTTATGTGCATACAAACATATGAAACATCAATCACAGCAACTCAGGAAACTGTTATTTCCTCCGTAAGTTTCCACTGTTAATGTTTCCACTGTCACTGTTTGCTGCTGCACTGCGAATTAATGCAATTAATGTCGTAACATAGTTTTATATGACGCAAAACCCCCAATAGGGAAGCAAGTGGCAGTGATGTCTTATGTGGAGTAGATTGCAGGAGGCTGAGTATCTGTGGAGGTCTGATCCTTTAGGCTGTTCATGTAATAAAGACATTTAGCCGTTGCCTGTTCTGTGTTTGGCACTCAATGTTCTTTTGTGGCCACTTGTATAAGAGGGCCGTCTGATGTCTGTGATCCCTCCGTTTTGACGTCACTTGCTCGTGGCACATGCTGTCTCCAGGGAAATCTGAGTGAGTGCCCGAAAAAAGAGGAAACGAGAAGAAGATAAGAGTGGAGTTAGACCTTTGTGCTGAGTCACTGTATGTGAGCTTTCCTTAATGCGTGCTTGTGTGCATATTTGATGATCACCAAAAACTATATTACTATATCAGTTATACTAATGGAAAACGAAATGAATGACCTGATACACGTTACATCTACCTGAACAATTTTTCCACTGAACAGAGGATAAAGATCTGATGTTTTGACCTTTATCTGAACACACATAAGGCAAACCTTTTAAATATAATCTGTGCTCTTCTGTTGTATTTTTGTAAAACATGGTTCTTTTGATGTTACTGTGTTCATTGTCATTGCTGGGTCATGATAACCCACCTCCCCTCTTTGTTGCTCTGCAAATTAGCATCAAGTGTTCTTAAGCAAAGATAATCAATTTCAAAATCAATGGTCTTTTTATAATTATTATTTGTAATTATTATTCATGTAGCACCAGTCGTTACTAAAGAGCCCACATCGGTGATCATACGAGTAGTGTGTGTGGAGACATCTAGTGGTTAGAGCAGAAGTGCCCAAACTTTTTAATATGAAGGGTTAAAATTAGTTGATTGAGGGGTTAAGGCCAAATATAAATGTTGCATTATATCCAACTATATTACTGTATAATAAAATATATTAAATGACAGAAAAATAATAATAAACAAAAATTGTAATGACATTTATTTTTACTAATTCACTTTTTTACATTTACATCAATACAAAAATAAAACTAAAAAATTTTAAAACAAAAATATAAATTAGAAATAAACATACAGGTCAATGTAATTTTATTGGTTGGTTGATTGATTGATTATTTATTTATTGGTTTAGAGCTCCTCTTGGTGACTATTACCTGTCTTTTCTCCTCAGCCACACATAAATGTTTCCAAGGAGCAAGAGTGTTGTGGGTGTGTCAGTACAAACTGTTCTTGTGAAGGATTGTGTTTTTGTGTGTGTTTTGCCTCCAGGCTTCCATTGTTCCAGGCTAGTGCTTTTGCTTTTCTCGCCCCTGCAAGAGCCATCCTTTCACTGGATAAGTGGAAATGTAACACAACAGGTACATGTCGCACACACACGCTCATGTCCCCTCTCAGTCACGCTTAAAAGCACTAACCTGATTGTCCTGTTTCTCTGCAGCTTTTCCTTTATTAAATGCCACAGAGCTGCCACACACAGAAGACATCTGGTACCCCAGGATACGAGAGGTGTGTTAAAACAAAGAATGAAAGAGATGAGATCAGACGAATTTAATGAGGAACATTAATGTAAAATTGTTTAAGGAAGTGATGGTGTGAAACTAATGAAATAAAATGAGGTGACAAGTTAAGGCAGATTGGTTATAACAGGTTTGGCCCATGGAACTGTGTGACCCTAAATGAGATCACAGAAAGGGCTCTGCATTGGCATAAAAAACATTTATAGAACCACTAACACTGCAAACGTTAATAAAAAGGGGTAGTTAACAAATCATCTTTACATTAAAATTTAATATTGCAATGTATCAAATACATAAATACTTTTTTGTATAATTTTTATAGTTAATAATGTCACGTCACTTTAAAAATCTAAAAATGTGACCGCGGTAATATGAGCTAATTTAAATGTTGATTAAAATAGTTTTACATGAGTTTTAGCATGTCTTTTAATGTCATACAAATAACAATGTGTATTTAGTGCACTAAAATCAATGGAAAAACAACTGGGGGCAGATTTATGTTCAGAGTGAATATACTGTAAAGACAAGTGAAAACCAGATACAGCAGAAAGAAAGAAAAATGTGTAATTATATTATAATATTGAATATGTAACTTTGTTTAAAAATTGAACAACTATTATGTACAAATTGAAGCAAAAATAACTATAGATTGCACACGCTCACTGTGTGTGACATGAACATTCAGTTACCTGGACTTTCAGTGGAGGACCCACTATAATATCTTAATTTGTGTTTTGAAGATTAGCCAAAGCCTAATGTGCCTAAAGTGGGTTTGGAACAACAGTAGAGTGAATAAATTATATATTTTCATTTTTGGATGAACTATCCCTTTATCTGTCTTTTAAGAGACTTTTGCCTAAACTGAAGACAAAGCAACTTGAGCCAAATTTGATTAAATGGAGCATTACGCTGTCTGGAGGCCTTTGTCAATGACACTTTTCAGCCTTTGATCACTTTTAACCTTTAACTGCTTTTTT